TCCCTTTCTTATTTTCTTACGCCTTCTAGGTTGTCATGTCACCCGAGTTGTTTTCACTCTTCAGGCGATGCTGACTACTCTGAAAATAATGAACATGCATGCTTTTGTCTACGGTACTACCTAATTTTCAGCTTGAATGATGCAATTGCAACTTGCAAGGTGGAGAAATGAACACGTGATGAATGGAGAAGAGTATTGAGAGAGAAGTTTTCTTTTTTTTTTTTTTATGGGTAAATGGGTAAAATTAATAAACCTCTAAAACGAAGCTGAATGCTTATAATTATAAAAAGAATAAGAAAAACGAGCACCTTTCCTACATCTGATCCTATCGCTTCCCTGTACCTCAATAGTTTATTGTTTTGAAAATTCTTTGGATCCTTCAAAAGATCCTAATTATATAATATATAATACATATTGTAATATTTGAAAAGGTAAAATCATAAAATAAATATAGCTTAAAATGTTTCTTTTTTCTTTTCATCAATGAAAGGTCATATTTACCAAACATCGATATCAACCTCTTTCTATTAACAACGTAACCTAACTTAAGATAAATAAAAAACTAGGAATTGGTATAGAAATATTTGGCTAAAATCCAATTTAGAGATATATCAACACAATAGAAAATATGAGAATGGTTCGATGGTGAGAGGATAGGAACCTCGTGTATTTATAATAGTCCAAGCAATTACTGTTTGAGTGAAATACAAATATTGAGTATTTGGATACAACTAACTCTAGATAAGATAAAGAGAGATAAGATTAAGATGAGGAGAGAGCGAGGATAACAAGAGAAGATAACATATCGTGTTAGGACTATTAATCATTATCCAATACGCTCCCTCAAGTGAAATGTCTGAGAAGGACATGAAGTTTGGATCGTAGAGTAGCAACGTGAGCACCATTAATTGGTTTGGTTAAAAGGTTGGCAACCTGATCTCTAGAGAAAATAAATTAGAGAGAGAGAGAGAGAGAGAGAGAGAGAGAGAGTTTGAGTACTAGATCCCGTAAGAAGTGAAAGTCGACCTCAACATGTTGAGTACATGCACAAAAGGCCGAATGAGTGGCAAGATACATGGCATCAATATTATCACACCAGATGACGAGCACATGAGCTAACGAATGACCCAAATCTTCCAATAGGACTGAACCCAAAGAACCTTTATGGAGGCATTAGCACAAGCCCAGAATTCATACTTGACCAGGCAATCAAATTACGTCCCAAGTAAATGAGAAAAGCACCAGTAGACCATTGATCATCAGGGCAACCAACCCAGTCAGCATCCGAAAAAGCCTAAAGAAAGAAAGGAGCTGAGGTGGAGTAGAAATAAAAACCATGATCTGTTGTATGTTTGGGATATCGTAAAATACGTTTAACAACCGCCCAATGATCAGATGTAGGAGAGTGGAGAAATTAGCATACTTTATTGATAGAGAAGGAGATATTAGGGCGAGTAATAGGAAGATATTGTAAAGCTCCAACAATGCTCCAATATTCTGAGGGATTTGAGAGAGCAACACCACTGAACTTAGAGAATTTAGAGTTCATAGCCATAAGAGAAGTGAGAGGTTTGGCTTTGGTCATGTTGGCACGCTATAAGAGATCTAAGATATACCTCTGCTGAGTAAGAATAATCATATTCGGTTGTGTCATGATCTCCATTCCAAGAAAGAAATGTGTTGGACCAAGATCTTTCAGAGAGAAAGTACGTTTCAAAGTAGAGACCAGATCATTAATTGCAGATGGAGAGGAACCGGTAAGAAGAATATCATCGACACAGATTAACATATATAAGGTCACTAATCCCTTGGTGTATATAAATAATGATGGATCGACTAAAGACATCCGAAAACCTAAGTAGAGGAGCTGGGAGCTGAGATGTGAATACCATGCACGCAGAGCTTTTTGAAGGCCGTACAAGGCCTTAGTAAGTTTACAGACATGATCAGGAGTAGATGGATCCTCAAAACCCTTAGGTTGTCTCACATAGATATCCTCATAAACATACTTGTTTAAAAATTCATTGTCAAAGTCCAATTGTCAAAGAGGCCATCGAAGAGCAATGGAAAGGGCTAGAATGGTTCGAATGGTAATTGGTTTGACCACCGGACTAAAGGTGTCAATGAAGTCAACCCTGGGAACCTGACTGAACCCTTGTGCAACTAGAAATGCTTTGCACCGATCAATAGACCCGTCAACACACCGTTTTACTTTGTACTCATTTGGTGCTAATAACATGCATATGAGGTTGGTGAGGTACTAAGGTCTACATGCCATTGGAAACAAGAGCATTAAACTCACGTGACATCGCTTCTCACCAACATGGCTCAGTAATGGATTTAGATAAATAAGTGGGCTCACGAAGATCATCATGAAGTGTAGCGAGCAATGCTTTAGGAACTAGATAGCGTGAAGCACTACATGGGATGAGTAAGAGCAGATGGTACCTATACCGGATAAGTAGAGTCGAGCAGATCTTGAAGAAGTTGAGTATGCCTCGGTGGAGAAGAAGTGGAAACACTACCTAAAATAGGACTAGTGTCGGTCTGAGAGGCTACCAGCAAAGTCGATGGGTCAGTCGATGGCGATGGCATAGAGACAGGCGGTGATGGTACAGAAACTAGCGGTGATAGCGGAACAGATAGAGTAATGCAAGTGTAATCATTGGAGGCCAGATGAGGAGAAGGAATACCTAGAAATCAAGATTAATTGAAGACCACATGTCGGGCAATGTAAACTCGTCTAGAAGGAGGGTGGAAGCATCTGTACCCCTTGTGAGAGGAGCTATGCCTAATGAAGATGCATCATTGGGACCAGAAAGCAAATTTGTTGTGATTGTATGGGCAAAGCAGGGGGATAACACACACATCCGAAGATGCGAAGCATAGTGTAATCTGGATGAAGACCAAATAATGCCTCAAAAGGAGACTGTCCATGTAGCACTTTGGTAGGCATCCTATTAATTAGAAAGATCGCAGTAGAAGCTGCATCATCCTAGAAGGTGAAAGGAAGGGCTAAGGTAGCCAACAGAGATAGGGTAGACTCAACAATGTGATGGTGCTTCCATTCAATGACGCCATTTTGCTCATGTGTATGCAGGCATGCAAGACGATGCATAACACCTTGTTTGGCTAGAAAGTCGAAACATGTCTGTACTCCCCTCCCCAATCAGACTGTAAATATTTAATTTTCTTCTCAAACAACACTTCTACATGTTTCTTGAATTTAATAAAAATATAAAAAAACATCAGATTTTTTCTCATCAAGAACAATCAAGTAAACTTACTAAAATCATCAAGAAATTACATAATATCTATAACCATTGTTGGATGCAACAGGGGCGGGGCCCCACACATATGAGTAAATTAACTTTAAGGGAGCACTAGACTGATTGGAAGAAGAAGAAAGATGAAGCCTACGACTCTTTCCTAATTGGTAAGACTCACAGACAGACGAAGCATTGCTAGCAAAAGACAGTAGACCGAACTGAGAAATGACTTGTTGGACTACACAGAAAGCAGGATGGCCGGGTCACTGATGCCAACCATGAACTGACGTACATTCACGTACAAAAAAAAGCTTGTATAAAAATCTTGAGTTTAGATCTTTCACATACATATGGCAATGATCCAGTTGATGAAGAACTAGTACCGATCACGGTCCATATTTTCTTGTAAAGGTGTTAAATTGATGAATACGGTCGACGTATACGTGTGATATGTTTTCATCAAATCGAATGCGTGGATGTGAACAAAATTTGAATTATCTAATAAATTCAATAGTACATAAAGAGAACTGTTGGAGAGATGCTTCCATTAAATATTTAAATATAGATGTAGAGTATGTACGTAATCAACTTGCCAAGTTCTTACAAGTCTAATAAATTTGTTCAACTGATGATTCGGGTGGAAAGCGGAACCACGCATCTCTAATGTGTGGCTCCAATTCACGGTGGATAAAAAGTGGGTAAGAGAAGTAAGTAGGAAATTCTGATTGGTCTAACACATTAATTCTAACTGTGTTGATGTATTGATGTATCGTAGCTCAGCTGTTCTGCCAAAGTTTTCCGATGAAGCCTTTTGCGTTGAAAGTAATTTAATTTTTCATCAATAAAAAAGAGCTCAGATTCTATACGCTAATGGGAAATTCTATGATACTGGTGGCAGTATGGAAAGAGTTCTGACTTTTGATCGATCAAAATTCATTTGATAAATATTTTAATTATTATCACACGTGTATAATTTCGATTTATTGATAGATTGTTTTTTCCGATGTCATATCTTTTACCTATTCATAATGGTGGCACGGCAGGTTTGTTTGAATGGTCTGCGGTCGTACTTATGAAATTAAGACAATGCGACAATCAACATTTATTAGCGTTAAGACAAGTAACGACTAACAACCCGTTTGAAAGGGGAGAATGACGGTTCAGCCCAGTGGGATTCAGATATCTTTAATGGGCCTGGGCCTGTTTTGTGATTGATGAATCACTCGTGAGTTTTGACTCTTGGTTTCATCAAAATATCCATTTATGACCGAAAGGCCTTTTTTTAGAAAGATTTTTTAATAGCTTTGACAGTTAAGAGTAGGACCTGACTTTTCTACCGATGCATATATAAGAGTAGGACCTTTTTATCTACTTCTAAACCCTGACTTTGCAAAACTTTGTTTCATTTTTGAATTAATGTACAAAAGTTAAAAAAGAAAAAGGATAATGAGATCCTCTGGGTGATGGTAATTATCAAATTGAAGGGCGAAGACTCAGTTCAGTTCATTGCTTGGAGAACAGGTTTGTTAAAAGCAGCTTCCTGGTAGCCATGCATGTTCCAAAATTTCAACGCAGAGACCGTGGAAATATTCTAGGCCAGAATTTAGAATCACTTGTTTTTCTTTCGTTTCTCTTATATATAGACATCCAAAGGGCCGGGAAGCCTATTATTGCTAACTGGTTCTCATCTGAGCAAAATTAGCCTTCTATATTAGAGTGAGGTGAGAATTATTTAAACAGAGAAACTGATTTGAAGTAGTAGTGCATGCATGGTTGAGCTGGATCGAAGCATTTAGCTTTGGGTTTCCGTAGCCATGGATGCAAAGAATTGGGTTTCCGTGGTTCTATTCACCTTAGCTTTTACTGGATTCTACGCCATCATATTGCTTCCATACTCCTCCAATGGAGTGCTTGGGTATGTTCTTCTATCTCTCCACTCTCCCCCAGTATATATTACTATCGTCTTTGATTTATTGGCGTCCAAAAGTTAATATATATATATATATATATATTTTTTTTTTATGTAATCGAATTATTTTTTCGATCCCTTTAAGTTAGCCTCTTTGGGCTGGCATCCCAAGGCTGATGACTCTAGCTCCCATCTTGAACCTCATAAAAATAGATATAATCACAGCACCGAGAATGTAAACCGTAAAGAGGAAAGCATTTGTTAATTTGAAAAGAATTCTTTTTTTCCGAAAAAAAATGTTTGGTTCATATCAATATTTTTTCATTCTACCCATTATTTTTCATTCTTATCCATTTTAGAATTTCATATTGTGTAATAATAAAAAAGAATGAGAGTTGAATCAAACATGGCCTAATTCATTCTATGACTGTATGACACATGTCTCCTTCTATTTGTATAAATATCCATGCACATACAAATATACATTCTATAAGACGCCAATCACAGTCTCACAGAAGAATTGGAAATATATGAAAAGAGTGTAATAAAAAAAAGTGCAGGAGAATAATACATCTCACAGTCCAGACTGTTATCTCCTGCACCGTTCGAATTCTTAAATGAGAGAATGGATGAATATGATGCCGAGAGATCGATTTCATTTCTCAGAATCTCATCATTCAAGACCAACCCCGTCCCCGTGAATTTTGATGAATTTTCATTAGTTAGTTTAAGAGAGTAAAGTGTAGCAGATCCAATCAAGGGGATGGGTATTATATCAGGAGACACACGTTTAACAGTTTGATCGATCCAAACCACACCTATGCATTTTAATGAATTTTTATTGGTTAGTTTACGCTTTAATGATAGGCATCAGGTGTAAAAGAGGATATAGGATTAGCTGTTCGTACGCTGTGGAATCAATAATAAACTTCCATGCCACTCATAAAATTTATGGGGGCTCACAATCATTCAACCTCACAGTGTGGGTCCTATTTAATTATTTTAGGGATATTTAGCCTTCACTCCACCTCAGAATTCAGATTTGAATTACAGATCTACAACAGTTTAAATTTATAAACAGCTTTAGTTATAATACTCATACTCACCCATGAATTGACATCAATTCCGAGTTGGCACCTACCCCCAACTGTACGATAGAGCTAGGGTTTCAGAGGTAACTAAATAGTAAAAACCCCTTTATTTTATATCATTAGTGTTAAGCATTATCATTGGTTCCACAGCCTGTTATACAGTCAAAGCGTTCAGCCAATCTAAATTCGTAGGAGAAGATGGGACTGGTTGACAAATCAAGGTTAGTCCTATGAGCATCCTTCTCCTTCCTTGTAGGATTTTGACATGACCTCTCCACTAAGGGTGCAAGTTGGTGGGCAGGCTGGGTTGGGTTTTAGTTTAATCATGTTCAATCCTAAGAATTGGGTCTAAAGTTGAACTCCAGTCTGACCCCAAGGGCCAAGATCGAACTATCCAACCCAAGAGTAGTCTGTATTACAACTTGTGCCTAGCTGATCCAAACGGTAAAAATTGATATTCGTATGTGTACATATATATATGTGTGTGCGATTTATTTAAAAGACTATATATGCATATATATACATGCAATTATGTATCTATATATAAATATATACATGTATATATGATCAGGCCAGTCTCGGATTTTGGGTTTGGACGATCTAAAGATCAAGTTTGAACCCAGCCCAAAAAATTAGAAAGGCAAAAAATTTTAGACTTAAGCCCAATTTAAGGAATGAAAATCCAAGTCAATCCATGTAAAATTATAAAACTGCATCAAGGCTAGGATTGGGCCCACCCAAGTAGCAGGCTTGCAGCCCTACTCTCCACCACAAATTGTCATTTCATCTCTTTCTAAATCAATATCAATGGCATCTGGGTACGGAACTTTTTATGCTAAAGTCGTACACTAATGAATAAGAATCCATACATAGCGTGGTCTTGGTTGGTTTACTTCTCATTCTCGTGTTTGTGAGTTTGATCAATTAGAACCACTCCGTAAATGTTTTTTTAAATCTCATCAGTTAGTGTACACTCGCAATGGACGAAACAAACCATAAAATTCAATGGAAGAGAAAGTGAACGAAGTAAACGGTAGAGTTCAGTTAAAAAAGGTGTTTTTTTTTTTTTTTCCTGTACTCAAACACTTTCTATTAAGACTACGAGGGGTGATTAATCGATTATGAGCTGGGCTGGGCCCAGGCCGGGCTTAGCACCTATGATAAGGCTAGAACCCGGCCCGGGTCTATGGAAGCCTAGGCTGAACTTTGAGCCTATAGCACTAAATACATTATATTTGATATATAATAATTTATGTTATAATGTATGTAATTCAACCTATTATATATAATATAAAATAAAATATATACATAAATATGTATATATTCTGATTTCTGATTTCTGAGCAGAAAACAAAGCCCAGCCCAAAAACAAAATCAAGCATGGTAGGACATGGCCCTACCAATTCCCCCTCAGGCCTCAAGGCCCTCAACTCTCGGTTTTCTGTTTACATATTTTCTATGAAGCCAAACACAGCATAAATGGTCATTTATAGGTAAAGCATTTACTTGGGTCCCTTGGATTTTCTGCTCAACAAATTAAAGATTTGCCTTGGGTGTGTTCACTGTTCAGGGAACTAAGGAGCCTCATCCCAGACATACTAACCGCATGGCACTCCACCGCCCCCAAAGCGTTGCAGGAGGAAGCAGCTGGCCGCGTCATTCTGAGTCCCAATCTAACAACTTGCCATCAATCCCTCTCAGATGCCGATGTGCCGGTCTATTGTTGCCCCCCAAAACGTGAGTCTGAGGAGGCCTTTATTGATTTCCAGTTCCCTGACCCTTCTTCATTAACTCTTCGAATTCGCCGGCCTGCTCACCTGGTCGACGACGACTATATTGCCAAGTATAACAAGGCTTTATCCATCATGAAATCACTCCCCTATGAAGACCCTCGCAACTTCATGCGACAGGCAAACATGCACTGTATCTATTGTACAGGGGCCTACAACCAACAACACTCCAACTCTCTCCTCAAGATCCACAGGTCCTGGCTATTCTTCCCCTGGCACCGAATGATGCTCTACTTCCATGAGAGGATACTCGCAAGTCTCATTGGAGATGACACCTTTGCTCTGCCTTTTTGGAACTGGGATTCTCCTGCTGGTATGGTCATCCCCAGAATGTACATGAACGGGTCCTTTCGAGATCCAGAACGTGATGCATCTCACCTTCCACCTCAAGTGGCTGATATTGACTTCGATTATGTCGAGAGCGGGCTTGACCCTCAAGACCAGATTGCAACCAACGTCGCCTTCATGTACAACCAAATGGTTTCTGGCGCAAAGAAGACTGAGCTTTTCATGGGTTGCCCCTATAAGCCAGGGGAAGAGGGCTTTTGTGATGGCCCAGGAACAATAGAACTCGCACCCCACAACGCCCTACACACTTGGGTTGGCAGCAACCTGAACCCTGAAAGGGAGAACCTAGGTGCATTCTACTCCGCTGCAAGGGATCCCATCTTCTATGCACATCATTCCAACATTGACCGTCTTTGGGAGGTCTGGAGAGGGCTTCAAGGAGCCAAGGCAGAGATCCATGATCCTGATTGGCTAGACTCCTATTTCTTCTTCCACGATGAAAAGTCGCAGCTTGTTAGAATCAAAATCCGTGATGTCCTTGACATCACGAAGCTTGGGTATGATTTCCAAAAGGTTGATCTCCCTTGGCTGAACGCACGGCCAAAGCCCGCTGTGTCACCCAAGATTGCTCGTTACATGTTGAAAACAAGGGAAGACGACCAGAACGTATTGCCTAGACATACGACGGACAAGGTCGGCTTTAGCTTTGGACCGGAGGGTCGTACCCTAGACACTGCTGTAAGAGTCAAGGTCCCTAGGCCCAAGATCCTTAGAACAAAGAAGGAGAAAGAAGAAGAGGAGGAGGTTCTGCTTGTATATGGAATTGATATCAAGAAGGATGTGTACGTCAAATTTGACGTTTATGTTAACGCCATTGACGAGACCAGGATTGGTCCGGAGTCCAGGGAGTTCGCCGGGACATTTGTTAACATGCGGCATGGCGTGAGGTTGGTGATGAATAGGGGAGATGCAACAGTGAAGAGAAAGACCAATCTTAAGTTGGGAATCTCTGAATTGTTGGAAGATCTGGAAGCAGATGGAGATGAGAGCATCTGGGTGACTTTAGTGCCAAGGGGTGGTACGGGACTGCATATCTCCATTGATGGTATTCGAATCGAATACATGCGATAGAAGCCAACATAATTAATACATGGTGGAGGACAAATGAGCTCGTTTTAATTTTCCTCCTACTGTATTCATTTTGAGTTAACTATTTGTATGTGGCAATTTTAGATAATGATAATTCTTTCTTTTTATTTTGTCATTTTGAGTTATCTAGTAAGTGTGCACGTATGTTTTCTATGTGGCAATTTTAGATAATGATATTTCTTTCTTTTTGTTTTAGCATTTTGAGTTAACTAGTAAGTGTGCACATCTGTTTTGTATGTGGCAATTTTAGATAATGATAATTCTTTCTTTTTGTTTTGGCGTTTTGAGTTAACTAGTAAGTGTGCACATCTATTTTGTATGTGGCAATTTTAGATAATGATAATTCTTTTTTTTTGTTTTGGCATTTTGAGTTAACTAGTAAGTGTGCATGTAGTTAGTATGTGGAAATTCTAGATGATGATAATTATAATAATAATAATATATTCAATTTTTTTTTAAAATTTTATGTATTTTTTATTTTTTTTTGTTTTTTTATTATTAATCAAATGCAGATTGCAAAATCTAAATCTAATTACATAAACACCTCATCCAAATATGACTAAATTAAAAAATAAGTATTTTAGTCATTGTTTTAAAAATCAGACCAAACCAGACGGTCGAATCGTTTGGCCTAGGAACTGGTCAGGCCATCAGTTCTATTTTGGCCTTGAATTGCTATTCTACAAAAAGTTGTTGAAATGGTCAAAGAACTATTAACCTAGATGGTTTAATTGTTAAAATGTTTAACCAATTAACCATTCTTGGGTTACTTTCAAACTAATTCTATTTTTTATTTATTTTAACATAGAAATTAGATAATAAAAAAATTAAAAAAGAAACTTTCATATCTCATAATTTTGTTCGGTTATTCACAATGGCCAAAATTAGTCAAGTTTTTTAGTTTTTCCATTTTGATTTTGAGTTTTCTCATTTCTTTAACACTTCTTAAGTTGTAACAATAAAAAATTACAACTCCAATAAAAAAACCAAAAAATTGATGTAAAAGATGAGAGATTAAACACCGATCTTATATTAGAAACCTGAGATAAACCAATGAAGCAAGCGATCTGGGATTTTAGAGAGATTTAGATAGAGGAGAGAGATGTATAAAGAGGACAAACAGTGTTGTAGCAACGGTGATGATGAATATGGAGATAGCCAGAAGAGGCGATTCCTTCTTCTTCTTCTCAAGGCAAATAGTTTTGCAACAATGAACGGTGAACATGGTGACAACCATCTCATGCAGTGCTTTCTCTTCTTCTTCTTCTTCTTCTTTCTCACTTCTCAACTTTAACTAGTTGCCTCATTTCAAAGTCCAACATTCCCCTATCAAAATAATGTATATATACATTGGACTTTAACCTAATTCTAATCTAACAATCAAAATAAAAAAGAAAGGTTTTTAAAAATGAACCGGAAACAAAACCAGTCAGGGGACCAATTTCCGATTAAGCGGTTCAACCGCTCGGGTTGAACGGTTCGAACTATGATGTCATAAATAAATTAAAAATAAAAATATATTTATAAATAATAAAATATAACATAAAATTAAATAAAGAACAAAAAATACAAAAATAAAACTATCTAAATACAAAAATAATATAGTACAAAACACATGGAAAATATAAAAATAAAATACAAAAAAACACAAAAAAATAAAAAAATACAGAAAAATAAAACTATCTAAATACAAAAGTAACAAAGTACATAACAAATGTAAAATACAAAAAAAAGTATAGAAACATTGTCCTCTGTAACAAACTAACAATAAAATAAAAGCAAGAGGATGAGGGAGAATGAGAATGAGAACAAGAATTAGGTAAAACAAATGGAGAGATGGGAAGGGGAGGAGGAGCAGTGACATTATTCTTGTTACTCGCGAAGCAGAGTAGATGTGCTCTTTCGAAAACAAAAGCAATTGATTTTTTGAAAGAAAAAGTTAACTTATGTAAAATCGTTGACTGCCATTGCTCCTTATTGCTCCTTGTTGTTGCTAATTACAAGAGGAAGGAAATCCGTCAATGCTCCTTGTTGCCCACCGCCGTACATGAAGCCCTTTTGAGGAAGGAAATCCGGATGACAGTCGCCGGTCATCGTGATTCACCGTCAGTCGACGTTGGTTGTGGCTACCGCAAGTCGTCGATCGCGTCATCAAAGTATGAGAAGGCTGGAACTTGGAAGGGTAATCGGGGGAGATGAATGAAATTTCTTTTGTTGTTTTTTTTTTCAAATCAAACAAAAATGAATTTCATTACCCGCGAATTGCTGCCCAGGTCGAACGGTTTAGCAGTTTGAACGCTCGGGTCAGCGGTTTTTTGACTTTTTCAATGGTTATTTACTAAATAATGGTTTATAGTATAACCGGACCTAGGGGCTTAACAGTTACAGGTTTTTCTGGTCCAATCATCTGGTCTGGTCCGGTTTTGAAAACCATGATAAAAAGTTAACATTATATTTTACATCTTACTAGTTTGACCTATTCAAAATGGATAGTTGAACCACTGGCCCGGAATTTAAAAGCAAAAGTGGTTCCATTTCTGGGTCAGCTTTTAAAACCTTGATTTTAGTTAAAAGAAAGTTCTACAATCTTATTCATATTTTAATTTTAGTGTAAATATAGAATTATAGATGCATTCAATTTTTTCTATAATTATTTTGTATTTTTGTGTGTAAAACTAATTCTGATATATTACATTCAAGGATTTAAAAATGGACACGATACGCCATATCGATATTAGCCTTACTTAGCACACAGTATGCTATTGGAAGTGTATCGGTCCAATACCATGCGGTATGGATTGATATGTGTGAGCTTTTTATTAAAAATTAAAGACAAATGCACAACTCAAACCTAGGTCTCTGAACAAGGTACATGCCTTTCTTAAGGAAAACCGTAAACCATTAAGGCAACTTAGTTCTTATATAAATATTTGTAATAAAATAACTTTTATTACATATAGCATCTACATATGTAATTCAAATAAATAATATATTTATGTTCAACAATTTTAATTAAAAATTATAAAGGACAATATTAAAAATTGATATTTTATAAACCAATGGAATAAATAATCTATCAAATCTACATTAAAATCAAAAGATGACTTTTAATCTTAAGAAATTTATGTTAATAAGATATTAATAATAAAATGATTATTTTAGTACTTAAAATTAATATATATTTAAATTATTAATTAATTAATATTTTAATTTACATTACATTAAATAACAACATATTAAACATTTACAAAAATAAAAAATGTTTAGAAAATATTTGAGAGTATAATATTAAATAGAATCTATCAACTCTACTAATCAACATTTATACCAAAAATGGTTTTTAATTTTAGAAAAAAACTATAGAAACAAAACTATCAATAATGTAATAATTATATTAGAAATTAAAACCCAATGATGTTTTTATAATTTTCCCTATTTTTAATTAAAATTTAAATTATTTTTAAATTAATTAAACTATATTTAAAATTAATATTTTTTATTAATACTTGATAAATTTATTTAACTATGTCAAGTTTTTATTCTTTTTGTGGAACTTAAATTGGTTTTAAATTAGTAAAAGTTAATTATAAAACTAATAATTGTTAGATAATTTTGTATTAGTTTTATATAAATTTTAAATTGATATTAGTTTTTAATTGATAGTTTTGTATATGGATTGGATGGACTAATCAGACATATTGAATTGGACTAGTCCAGCCCAAAGTATTTATTGGATTGGATTGAACTTGGTCATCTGTAATAGATTTATATTGTATTGGGTTGGATAGAACCAATATTTAATCCATTGATAGAAAATAAGAATTTAGGTATCAATGGACCAAGTTTGGATTGGAACCAATCTAAATTAAAACCAATTTGAACAAATTGAATGCTCCAAAGTATTCATTGGATTGAATTGGACCTGATCCATCTATAATGGACTCATATTGGACAAAATTAGATTGGACCAAATCCAGTCCAATTGACACCCTTAGCAGGATAGGTATAATTGTTCTCTACTTATACATAACATATTAAATGCTATTATTGACAATACCTTCTCATTTTTTTATTCAAACTCTAACTTTGCTAACTTCGAATCTTGCTGTATACTTCATGCATATTCCTTTGAGTTTGGAAATATGAAAACAACAATAATGGAAATAATATATTTGTTCTCTTAAAATGTTCATTTAATATATTTTTGTATTTGGAATTTAGATCTATTATTAAAAATGATTTAATAAACAATTAATAGGGTTCGTTTGATTGGTAGTCGGAATCAGAAACGAAGTGGTGCATTTACAGTCTGTTTGATTCATACAGTAATCGGAATCAGTTGGAATGTAATTGCTTAACAAAGCCAGAAAGGTCAAAGCTGTACAATGTAGGGTTACGTGGCATCATAAAAGAATCTGCTATATGTTCACCGCATCAGAGAGATAGAACGATTGAAGGCTGATGAGCATGATTTTCAAAACCGGATCGGACCGGATGGTCGGACTGGAAAACCGGTAATCGTTCAGCCCCAGGTCCGGTTATACTGTAAACTGTTATTTAATAAATAACATTAAAAAAGTCAAAAAATTGCTGATTCAGGCGGTTGAACCACTTAACTGTTCGATCCAAGCAGCAGTTTGCAGGTAGCAAAATTCATTTTCGTTTGATTTAAAAAAAGAAAAAATCCATTCGTGTCCTCCGATTATCCTTCCAAGTTCCAGCCCTCTCATACTCTGACAACACAACCGACGACCTATGACAGCCACGACCGATGACCGGCAGCCATGACCAACGTCAACCAATAGTGGATCACGATGACCGACGAATGTTGTCTGGATTTCCTTCCTCAAAAGGGCTTCATCTACGGCGGTGAGCAACAAGGAGCAGCGGCGGATTTCCTTCCTCTTATAATCAGCAACAACAAGGAGCAGTGGCAGTCGGCGGTTTTATAGTGGCAACCGGCAATTTTGCAGCAGTGGATTCCCTTGCTCTTGTAATCATCAGTAAGGAGAAGCGGCAATTGACGATTGGCGATTTTACGTAAGATAACTTTTTTCTCTCAAAAAATCTATTGCTTTTGTTTTCGAAGGAGCACATCTACTCTGCTTCGCAAGCAACGGGAACAGTGTCATTGCTCCCCTCCCCTTCCCATCTCTCCATTTGTTTTACCTTGTTCTTGTTCTCATTCTCATTCTCCCTCGTCCTCTTGCTTTTATTTTATTGTTTTTTTAATTTTCTCCATCCTTGTTACAAAGAACAGAAACTGTCGGCTCCACTGTTCGAAGGAGGATGATCATTGTTAGGCTGTTACAGAGGACAATGTTTCTACACTTTTTTTGTATTTTCATTTGTTATGTACTTTATTATTTTTGTATTTAGATAATTTTATTTTTCTGTATTTTATTTTTATATTTTCCATGTGTTTTGTACCATATTATTTTTGTATTTAAATAGCTTTATTTTCTGTATTTTTTATGTATTTTATTTAATTTTATGTTATTTTTTATTTATTTATGATATCATGGGTCAAACCATTCGACCCGGACAGTTGGACCACTTAACCGGAAACCGGTCCTGACCGGTTATGTTTCCGGTTCGTTTTTAAAAACCTTGCTGATGAGTGATGACGATGCCCCCACTTTGAAATATCGACACAATTCGAGGGTATTTTATTTTCCCTGTCCAATGTCAAAAATATCAATAACCTTATCCAAATTGTGTGAAGAAAATTTGTTTGTAAGCCCCATAAGAAAATTGGACGATTCGATTCTTATACCGTTTTTGACGACGATACTCGAGAGGATCAACAATCAAAGCACCTTCCATGTTGGTTCACCCTATTCCAATGGCACGCCTCATGCTTACTCCTACGAACCAATTCCCCTTGGAAACGAAGGTGCAAACCCTATCTGTATTAGAAAGGTGTTCCGACATGGAAGAGATAAAGCAAATCCATGCCCAATTGTTCAAAACAGGTCTGGTTCTGGACAGTACCCCAGTTACCAAGCTTCTCACATTTTCTGCTACATCAGTTTCCGGAAACTTGGCATACGCCCAGCTAGTATTCGACAGCATTCAGCAACCTAACATCTTTATGTGGAATATAATGATCAGAGGCTATTCAAACAGCAAAGAGCCTGAACGAGCTTTGCTCCTCTATCACCAAATGCTCCGTGATTCTGCCTTACCTAATCACTACACCTTCCCTTTCCTGCTCAAGGCATGTGCCACTCTATCAGCATTGGAGGAAACCCGGCAAATCCATGGTCAGGTTCTGAAGACAGGCTTTGCTATAGATATTTATGCTGCCAATTCACTAATTCATGCTTATGCCAAATCTGGTAGCCTCACTTCGGCCCATCGACTCTTTGACAGGGTCCAAGAACGAGACATCGTCTCTTGGAATTCAATGATCGATGGGTATGCGAAGTGTGGAGAGAGAGAGAAAGCTCATGAACTGTTTACTAAGATGCCTAGAAAGAATATCATATCCTGGACATCTATGATCACTGCCTGCGTTAGGGATGGTTTCTTCAAGGAAGCCTTGAGTTTCTTTTACGACTTGCAGAATGAGGGCATCAAACCAGATGGTGTGGCACTGGTCAGCACACTTTCAGCATGTGCGCATCTGGGAGCATTAGATCAAGGTAGATGGATTCATGCTTACATTGATAAAATCGGGATCCAAATTGATCCCATTCTTGGTTGTGCCCTTGTGGATATGTATTCCAAGTGTGGTGATGTGGAAGAAGCTCTGCAAGTTTTTAAAAATACAAAAGAGATGGGAGTTCCCGTATGGACAGCCATGATTGCAGGATTTGCAATACATGGGCGGGGAAGAGAAGCCCTTGACCTCTTTGACAACATGCAGAAAGCAGGAATCAAACCCAATGCAATCACTTTCACGGGGGTTCTGACTGCATGTAGTCATGCAGGATTGGTTGATGAGGGGAAATTTTTATTCCAAAGCATGTGGAAGGTATACAATGAGACCCCTTCAATAGAGCATTACGGGTGCATGGTCAACCTTCTGGGTCGAGCTGGACAGCTGAAGGAAGCAAAGAAACTGATTGAGACAATGCCCATGAAACCAACTGCAGCTATTTGGGGAGCATTACTTAATGCCTGCAATATTCATGGTGACTTCAATTTAGGCAAGCAATTAGGAGAAATCCTAATTGAAATGGACCCCAGCCATGGTGGCCGATACATTCATTTGGCAAATATATTTGCAGCAGAGGGCCAGTGGGATCAATCTGTGAAAGTGAGAAAGCTAATGACGGATAGAGGAGTTTCAAAACTTCCAGGATGCAGTTTGATTAGCTTGAATGGAGTTGTACATGAATTTCTTGCTGGAGATCATTCCCATCCACAAATAGAGAAGATTTATCTCATGTGGGACCAAATTGCAGAAAAACTGAGGCAGGAAGGATATGTTGCTGCAACTGGAAATATATTGCTTGATCTAGAGGAGAAAGAAACCGTGATTCACCAACACAGCGAGAAGCTAGCTATAGCTTTTGGATTCATAAACACTGCACCAGGAACACCAATTCGAATCATTAAAAATCTTCGAGTATGTGAGGACTGCCACACAGCAACAAAATTCATCTCCAGGATTTACTCTCGCGAGATTGTCATGCGTGACAGGACTAGATTCCACCATTTCAAACATGGAAACTGTTCTTGTGGGGATTATTGGTGAAGAGAGTGAAGGTTCATGTGTCCAATTGCATAAAATATTCATATAATATCAACAAAACTGACATTATTAGAGAACCTTGGAAAACTCAACTCTTTCTGGAGACTTAAGTTACAACAGTTATTAAGAAACTAAAAGCTTGTTGAAAAAGGAACCAATAAAAAGCAACAAGGGCTAGTTTTGAGAACCTCGTAAGCTTCAATTCATCCAATGCTAAGATGCTGTTCTGCTACCCATGATTGCTCAGGCTCTAGCTGAACTTTTCCAATCTGAGGTTGTTACAGAGAAGGGAGAACATTCAATAGACTTGTGGTCATTGCATTAAATATTTATCACTTTGGGTTGTGTTTGGTTGCAGTCAAATTTTATTTGCACTAGTAGAGATGCATGGGAGTGCAAATGAAAGGAACACAAATTCTGGTTTAATTTTGTTTTAGGTTTTACTTTATTCTGCTTCAGGTCTTATTTTACTTCATTTGTATTGCAATCAAACAGAATAAAGTAAAATTTAAACAAAAATAAAACCAAATTTGCACCCAAATCGTTTGCACTACCATAGTTTTGCATTAGTGAAACTAAATTTGCACTGCAACCAAATGCAGCCTAGGCTCAGCTTGGGAACAGTGCAAATACAAATATGTTCAATGCAAAACCTTGAATATGGTATTTCAAAATCTTGTATTTGCACTCTTCCCAAACTGAGCCTTTAGGACATGACGGATTTCAACTTGTTATATAACCATATACATTGCAACAATCAGTACAAAAAGAATATACATCAAAACAACAGTTGAAGCAGCATGCCGCTTCCTTGATGGGTGAGAGTGTCACAGTTCAAATAAGGGAAAAGGAAGAGTCTTAAATGTGTAACTATAAAGAGGTGGTTATTGATCGTCTAGATTGCTCAATAGACAATAAGTAGGCCATATATATATGGTAGAGTATCACTAAGAGAGAGAGAGAGAGAGAGAGAGAGAAAGGAGGAAAAAAACTGATTTCATGTGGAGGAAAAAGCATAACCATTTAATCAGGTATCCAAAAAGGGCATCGTTACTTCATTACCTTTGCATTTTCAACGCAGACAAAGTCCTGGTAGCAGTTTTCCATCTGCAAATAAGGGTTCCACAAGACACAATCTGTCCAACTGCATGGGAAAGGGAATTATAAAGAGAAAAACTTGAAGCAGAATTCTTTTATCAAGGAAAGTCCAGATAAAAGCAAGTTACTTAAAGCAAACAATACTAATTTCTATAAAGAGAAGATAAAAGTCAAGACATCACAAGCAAGGTTCAATTGAAGTACTTGGTATTCTTGATGGATATTAGATCACCCAACCCATTGTCAAGTTGCAACTCAGAGGGAGCAACCAAGTAAATACAGTCCACAAATCCTGGAAAATTGACCACATCCCTGAAATTCAAAGTTCCAGTTAGAAGTGGTGGAACAGTTTTCCATATTTCAGAAGATAATTGATGAATTTTGAAATCTTAACAGTATAAAATACCTGTGAAAGCTAACATTTTAGTAGAAAAAATTAAATTGCAAAAAATATTAGTTGCTTAGTGGTGTAGTTTTGCAAGAGTTTGATATCATGGGCCTAAGAATGAAACGGTTCTTGATGTACTAACCATTAACCTGCTTGTGTGAAGACCACCCTCCAATCAAAATTTGCTTAAATAACTTTCTTTCCTATCTTTAGCTTCAATCAGATTTTACTTGGTCATTAGGGCTTTCAGAGATGATGTGCAATATGTAGTTACAAATGCAATGAGTAGCAGAAATATACACCTTCCTCCAGAGTCCAGACATAATAGTATTAATTTACCAATCAAACTTAAAAAAAAATAGTAAATTAAAAAAAAATCATCAAAGAACATCTAAAGAGCAAGGGTCTAAAAGAGCACCCAATGAAAAGAAGTGATCAGCTACAAGTTGAAGGATCTAAAAGAGCAAGGGGCATGCCATAAAGGAAATAGATTGAAGTAGTGAGAAATGATATAAGGGTCCATAATTTAACAATGGATATAGCACTGAATTGAGTGGAATGGTGGAACTAGATTCATGTAGACAAGTCCCATATAGTTAGGACAAGGCTTATTTGAGTTAAGTTGAGTATTCTTAGCATTTACATATATTAAAGCTTTAGTGTTTTCAATTAGGCATAATCAAGAGGTTATAAATTTCATCTGCTGCCTTGTCAAATAAGAGAAAAAAATGAAGATTGACATATATTAGATTTTATTCCATTTCCTACCTTGGTAAAATATATACAAATGCATAAAAGGATATGCATTTGAAATACCCTATAGAAAAAAGTAAATAAAATATCAATAACAAATAAAAACAAAAAAAAAGATGAACCAATTCCAACTGTTCCTATTTCTGAATAACATTTTCAGACAAGTATATCCAGCATGGTGACCTTTTTTGTTGATAAAAACGAAAGAAGTTAAGAAAGGGATCTTGTTAGAACAATGTTAAGGCCAATTCACCAAGACTAATGGGAAAGAAAATACAGACCTATCCTCTGTACCCTCCACAGGATTAGTCGGGTCTGGGTCCTTGTTCAGCGTATTGCAACCTTTCAGTCCTTTCACTGATGCTTTGGTTACAGAAGCCTGCACAGTAATAACTCAACAAATTTCACATCAATAACCAAATATATATGAAAAATAATACATCCATATTGGGTCCGGAAATCATGAATTTAGGTTCCTTACATGAAAGTAAGTATGCAATGCAGTACTAAAGGAGAAGGATTTGTTATCTGTATTTGTGATTATTAGTTCTGTTGAAAGTCTCCTTGAGTATAATTTGACCTGCAAACAGTCACCAAAAAAAAAATTCAGAAATATATGTAATTGACAGGACAAGATTTTTAGCAAGAAATTTAAATTGAGAACTGACTGTATACAAGGCTCGGAAGCTGAAATCCCACATAGAGCGGCTGTAAGGACCATCACGCAACTCCAGTGTTATAAGAGGATTTCCTTCCACATTATCAGAGCCAACAATAGACCAATCCATGTTCCTTGCAAACCCATGCTGTAGAATAAAAATATTCATGGATCAAGAACCATATTTAAGATGAAAAATGTGAAACAGAAAGACCCTGGAGCTAGAGGATTTCCAAGGTTTCTCAACTAATGACATTTTGGGAATTTGGAAGGAAGTGGATTCTTCGGCTCAAGCCAAGGAAAGTAAATATGGAATGGAGGCCACCAGCAATCAACTTTGCTAAACTCAATTTTGATGGGAGTTATATTGGTAGTCAGGTTGCACTGGGGTTGGGAGGGGTGTTCGGGGACTCAGAAGGAAAGGTCTTAGCATTGTATTCTGGGCCATTAATAGATAGCAATGCATTGAAAGCAGAGATGTGTGTATTACTCCATGGGTTAAAATTTTCTAACCAATTCAGTTTCCACAACTTGGAGGTGGAAGGGGACTCACAGTTGGTCATTTCATGGACAAGAGGTAGTTCCCAAGTCCCATGGGTCTATAGACATATTTTTGAGGAAATAGAAAGCGTATCAAGGGAGCTGAATGTTGTCTTTAAATGGGTGAGAAGATCAGCAAATGGAATGGCAGATGTGTTAGCCAAACAGGGGACAGCGAGGCACCAAATGTTTTTGGAAAAAATTGTAAATCATAAAGGTTGCCTCTAAGGTGGAAACAGTGTTTTAAAAGGCATGGGAGGCGTACACCTCCAGGCGAGGCGCTCCCAAAACGCCCTGATGTCACGGGGCTAGTCGTTGGGACCCCGTGCGGCACTCGAATGCGACGAGTAAGCCTAAGCAACAAGCAACAACACAAGAAAAGGCAACAAAGATGGCACACGAATTAGATAAAAGGCAAATTGTATTGCATTAATGGATGGCAAGCATAAGCACACAGTTCAGTGTCGAGGGGATCTCATGCTTAACCTTTACATGCTCATGACTCACTCGACTACCTA